GAAATGCTAACTTCAGTTAGTTTGTTTTCCATGGGACATATTTGCTCTCACTCTGCTTCCACTGATGTTTTGAGTAGTACCCAAGTGGAAAATAGAATTAACATGTTGAGTAAGCTTTACTCCTCTTTAATTTGTTATTGCTGTCATTAAGAGTCTTTTATTTTACTTTGGCTAATTGTTACAGGAACAGCAATAGAAACGTTATAAATTCTATAAGTTGATCATTTCATGGTACAATTTTTCCATGGGGCAAATCTTTTCCATTTGTCATGGAGGAGTGCAAAGAGTTGTGAAACCTGGAGGCATCAGTAAGTCAAAGAAACCGAGTGGTGCTCTCGCCATTTGGAAAGGGATAGAAATGAGATTTGTTCTATCTTGATGTATGAGAATTAGCAAAGTAGATAACAATTTAGACCCAGTTGGTAGACATCAGGGAACATACTGTTATGTACAGATTCACGTACCGAGAAAGCACTAGCTTTTGAAATATTCTATTAGCAAAACTTAATTACTACATGCACACTATGTCTAGCAGTGAGGTTTCTCCTTGCCCCTTCTGTCTTTGCTAGGCAACAATATCATTAAAAATACCACTTTTAACTGTGAAGTTGATTACCTACCTATTCATTTTATACAAGGTCAAATGACGTATCAAACAGCATGCACTTAAACTCTTTTACTGGACCTGGGAAACTGAACCATCTTTGGGTTCCAGTCCAACTATATAAATGTAACTCAAACCGACTTCCTTTTTAAGCCTGTTTGATCACATAAGCCCTTCTGCAAATTTATCTGCAGTGGCCAATACATTAAGTGCTAACTTGTCCCTATGCTCTCCCTTGCCTTCTCATCTAATACAATATTTGTCTTTTAACTGGATGTCGCTATTTCACCAGCATTAACATCTGCCAATGCCTGTATAAGCAGAACAGTATAAAATCTCTTTGGCATTTCTTTCAAAGTTTGCATATCAACAGATAAGCCCAGGACATGATTTTAATTTTGATTGCCTTTGAAAACACTTAATTGCCATTACTATGCAGTTAATCAATGTTGTAACAGCAGGAGCGGATTGTACCCCCCAAACCGGGTTTCTAAAAATAAAATCGTCATCACTTCAGTCTTCATACAAGCCCTTAGCTTCAACTCTTGGTCTTCCATCTCCCCTTCCAGTAAGGGTGTGGGCTCTTCCTACTTCTTCCAGAGTCAGTCAGAGCTGGGCTGTGACATTCTACCAGCCTCGGTACATATACACTTCTGTGATTTTTAATTCAAATAATTTAAACCGGGGACAGAAAATGTTAAGTGTCACTACTACAGGGAACTTCAGGCACTATTAAACAGATAGCAGAGAAATATCCTGGAAAGAAAGAAAAAAAAAAGGTCTTAAAAATCTACTAGCAGCCTACCTTTTTCCGTTAGCAGCTATATCTCCCAAGCCAGCTTTCCGAATCCTCTGTAGAGCTTTATCTACCTGAAGTTGAGACTTTGCTTTTATTTAGATCACAGAAGCTGGATCCATCTCATTATAGCACACCCCATAGGAACAGAATTTAGAAGATCAGACTAAGGTGCATGCAAAAAAATCCTATTAGAGACCCCAGCATGACGCACACTGAAGAGATGTTCAGTAATGAAGGACCAGGAGCTTCCAAGTTTTTCTTGCTTAGCTGCTCTCTGATGGCTAGAACCAAGAAGACAGTTTTACAGCTCAGGTAGCTAAACGTGTGAAAGCACTGCGGAAGACAAGGAAAACGAACTAAGCAACGGATCATAAAACGGGGAAAACCCCTGTAGTTTAGCATCTAAATAAGAAGTGGAGCTGTGAGCATCCACACTTTTCAGGTGGCGTTACTTATCTTCAGGTACATAGACTTTGGGCACAGATTTGCAAGCAGGAGAAGGTAGGCCAACCTTCAGTTTTATCGGAGTATTAAAAGAACTTCTACAAATCACTAGCCAATCTTAACACCTCTGACCTTAGGCTATGTGTAACGCAATTCACTTAAGCATGAATAAAGATTGATAATAGGTAGCTGAGAATATTCCTTGCAAAAAAGGTTAATTATTGGATTAAATACTAAAAAATTCTGTGCTTTCAACATTCTACAGAACTCCTGAATTTCATTATCAAGCATGACAAAAACATACTTTCCCAACAACAAAAAAATTTTTATAGCCAAATCAGCATTTTTTTTCTAAATTATTTCCACTTAACAGAATCGGTGTAGAAATAATTATGGCCTATTAAAGATAAATCAATAGGATCACAATCACAGTAATTAACCTCCAAGTGCATTTTTACAGAAAAAAATAGTTTAACTACAAAACATTCGGTGAATACTATTGGCACTTATAACCAGTACATTAGCATATGGTATTTTGGAAATGCATAGTGCAAACTGGAAAATTTCAGTATGCCTCTAGGATGGGTGCATATATGAGCATGTATGGGTGTATATATAGATATTGGAGATATACACGTATACACACTTCCATGACACTGCTAATATTTGCCACACAGGTTCCTTGGTTTTGCAAATGCAGAATATTTTCCCATTAAATGTATAGTTGGCCACCTACCATTTGGGGCAGGCGTACGTCTACTCAAAGCAGTTACTTTCCACTTTTCTGCCTCTGAATCAATCATTAGAGTCCCTTTAAAAGAGTATTTATTGATCACAATATTTAATTCTCAGAATTGCATTTCAAAAACGTAAGTAACTGACTGTGCTGTCAGGTGAACCCCATATTATTCAACTGCTAGGTTGAGAAAAGCCCCTTGCAGTGGATGGGCTCTTTCCACAGGACACTGTGAGACGCTGGCCATTAGATCAATTCCCACGCGTGTATTTCAAGTCCTTTGAAACTCCAATGCCTTTATTAAATGACCCTTCTCAGGTTTTACATTAATCAAGTTGTTTTCATGTCATTTTCCTCTTGGTTAAATGATACCAAATCCCCTCTTCTTGATGCAGTTTGTTTTGTTTTAGAATAGCTAGCGTGTCCCTTTTTCTTTTAAAACATTTCAAACCAATTTTTCACTTATAGTCCCCTGTTACTGAAGGCTAAGCGTATCAGAAGACCAAAGTCAGATGCAGATACTTCCAACTTCTGGCTGCCATAGTGCTGAGAACACCATCTGAAAACTCCACTTAGTCTGTCGACACCCTGTATTTCTGCAACACCTTTTGGCAAAGGACAAAATTAGCAGTCCATCCCCTAGCCTGCATATTTACTGTCTAATACTGATAACTCTGTCACAAGCTACATTAATCAGTTCAATGCCAACTGCTGCCATTTCATCTGCAAGGTCAATTTTTATACGGAGTTGAACAGCCTGAGTTTCAGATAACCAGGCTCACGCATTTTAACAATCAAAGATTATCAATGTATTTGCAAAGGGAATATACGTCACCAAGCTAAAAAATATTAGATCAGTGACTTACACATCATCTATATCACTGTAGAGCGTTCATACTTGTCTGATACCACTGCGAAATAAATCTCGCGTCTTTGATTTTTTTGCGTGCAGTTGTCTCATTTGTTATTAAGCTTTTATAATAAAGCCTATCCTGAAAACAAAATTCTAAAAATATGTAGAATTTATAACGTGTGTGTAGTCCTGCTTGCATAAAATCGAGGGATCTAAAAATCAGTGTGAGCGATGAATTTGTACTTATTACTAGGTGAACATAATAACTAAGGTATCAATATGGGTGGTCAAGCTCTCATTTAGACCACTGAAGTGAGTTACCCAGACTAGACGCTTGGCACCTGAACACTCCTATTAAGCTGCAGGTGTGAGCTGAGCTCTTGAACATCTAGATGTTCAAGTCAGTACATTTAAGGTCCTAAAGGTAATTCACTGGTTTTCACACAAGGAAGAATTCTACCCCCCCCAGCCAAGGAAGTTATCTGGATGCAAATTAGTAAGCCACGTTGCCCTGAGAGAGGGTAAAAGCAGTGTAAGATGAAACACAAATCCACAAGCCTGTGTTCAGTTAAAAATACAGTAGCACTGTAGCAACATTCAGTGCCCACTTTTGCTATATGAAATCAAGTGCTGTGTTGCAGGGGAATTTCAGCTTTTGGAATACAAGTTTGCACCTTTCTGCCAATTTGGCATTACCACAGGTAACTCTTCTTTATTTAGAGGCAAAAGAGTAAGTATTTCACCCTATTATACACTCTACAATTACCCAAACTCTGTTGAGCAGATTCCAAGGGAAAGAATTTCCTTCTCATCTTAGTCCTTTAACAAAAGGTCCTAACATAATTTTAACAGCAGTTCAGAGATCACCAGCAAAACGCTGCCATCTTTGCTTCTTGACATGATTTCTGAAATCACTTTCAACACAAATACACATGTACAATACAAGTGCATGAACTGCATGGTGTTACACTCAGTTCCAACTCTATTGCAGCTTAAAGCATTTAAACATCACGACACGCACATCAGTCCTTGGGTGTTTGTAGTCTGTTTCTGTGAGCAGCCGCTGTCATTTGCTCATAGTATTTCTCCTAAAGCTCCTAAAATATACACTTCCATCCACCTATGCTTCAACAGACTAGTACAGAAAAAACTGTAGCCACAAACAAATGAGCCATCGCTGGATAGAAGAATTTCCAATTACACAGAAAACAAGGAAACCGGCAACTGCATTATATAACATACTCGGTTCATTTATTTAGATAAGTGTAACTCTAATGTGATACAACTTTTTAATTATAGAAGTATAATAAAATCTTTGTTGCTGCAATCCTGCAGTTGGAATTTCAAGTTCATTCCCACTGGGATTTTCCAGCTACTGTTGAGGCACACTGGCACATGATTTAGCTGCTGCTTTCCTTAAAAGAAATTGTACAAGGATTTTACCAGTTGGAAAAATAAAACAATATTGAGAGATCATATTTATTTTTCCTCACAGCAAGACTTTAATCTGCTTTTTCTCACCCACCAGTCTCATGTAACCCAAAACCATTTTTCTTGCCTTCCCCACATTATGTGAAAAACAGCAGAATCTGATTTTGTTGGCAGTCTCCAAATCCCAGTTCAAAAGCATCCAGACAGTACTCTCACAATCCTAGGTAAGGTTTCCATATTGTTGTGTACACGTATACGTACACAAATCCATTTTTTGATACTTAGAAACAGTTATCAAAACTTAAGTCTAACATTTGAACTCAACATTTCCCAAAGTTATATGCACAGAATTTTCACTGAAGGCTGTAGGTCTGCTGTGCGTCCTTGACTGAAAGGGTTATAAAGAGGGACCGTGGATCCTTTCTGTTCTTGCGGACTGTTATCTTTCCTCTCATGGCCTCTCCTGCAAAATTAATACAGAAATTACTATGCTTACATTACTGAATCATGCACAGTAACAACAAAGATGCATTATGTACCCTTATGTTGCATGAGAAGCTGTTCCCAATTAATCAGAATTAGACAAGTCTACAAAGGTTTCCTTTATGTTTTCAAAGCTCTAAGCAAAGGTATTGACAACAACCCTAAATCAAACTAACTGCAGTTAAACCTGGTGAGGTGCTGAGGGATGTTTGATGCTTTACTTCTCAGATGACCCACCCAAAGAACTGGTATGCCAATTATTTTAGTTATTATTGGGGAAGAACACTGTATTCCTGGATACATTAACCTCTCTTTGTATCTGGTTGTCCTGGTTGAGTTGGACCTGCACGTCACTACAAGGCACTTCCAGGCACATACAAGTCTCAGCTGGACAGGTACTAAGTGTCATTGTACTATTTCACCCCAGCCCCCAGCTTCAAATAGCAACTTGTTTTCTCATGAAATGATACACTACGTCTTTAAATTCTTGAATATAGATTTCCATCCATAAAGTAAGCAAATTATTAGCAGTAATAAAACAGTATAAAAAAGCTAAATTGCTAGTCCACAAAACTTACTATTACATTATGCCTTTGCTGAGCTGCCTAATTTAAATGCATCATCACTGTCAACTTTGAGTAAAACCAAGTAACCACAAAAACGTATTCCACTTCCTACTGCGTATGCCATGTGGTTTGTATTTGCACTGCATTTAATTTAAACTCTAATTAGGTTATGTTATCTGGCAGAAAACATTAACAGGGAAATCTTCACGGCATTTCAAGTATATACATAACTAATAGCAAGTTTTGGTTTATGAACTAACAGGCTTTCTTGACCATAACACTTGGCATACGTGTGCTTCAGCTAATACCAGAGACAATGCTTTGACACAGAAGGAAAGAGCTGGGAGACATCTAGAGAGGCACAACTCTCACTTTTGGTATTACTAAATCTAAGTAAAAGCTTTTGTCCTAGAGAAATTCCAGGCCTCGATATTTCTGTTTAACATTCTGTCCTAGCCTGCACTGATCAAGCCTGGTTCCATCCCAACAGCAGCTACAGTTCCACGGCACATCAACTTCTTCCACATTTATTCTTCACATCATTCAAAGGTCTAGCTTTTAAAAGCATTTTCAGATTCTGAAATAAATATGGAGAAAAATGAAACCTGCTGTACTGGTTTAAGAACTTGTGCTTACTTTCTATGAGGAGATGTTTTACTTTTCACATGCAAGACAGGAGATTATTGGTGGATCTGTAAGCCCAATTTCATGATCTAACAGTCCATTCATGATTCGTGAGTCTAGCTCATGATCTAACAGCAGCTAGTCTAAAAGGTCAGTTACAGTTCAAACTTCATACCATCATTTTGAAACCACAAGAACTACATCTAAGCAGATGATTCTACTAAACACACCACAGGAGGGCACGATCTCGAGATCTACAACACGAAGTTCTCAGCTACTCTTCCATTAAGCCTCCCTTGCCCTGTTGTTCATCTTCATCCCCCACACCAGCCACCTCCATGGTTAGTACTTCTCTATCCCACCGGATCCAAAGTATTTCCCAGTTGTTCATTACTCTTAGTGGTTTGAAATCCATTCTTTATGTTCTCTTAAAAAGGTGAAATTTTCAATATTCTTCTTGTAAAAATGAAATCAAATAGCAATTTGATAATAGCAAGTTTAAAATTCAGTAAGAATTTGAGAGTTCTCCATTTGGCACAATTCTTGGATGCATCTCCAAACAGTAAACTGACACAAGTTCCACATTATAAAAAATAAATGCAGAATATTTTGTCAAAAGCTGTAGTATAAACACCAAAGAAAGCTTTTCAACAAAAATTACTATAGTACCAATACTGTACAGTAGGTCAAAAAAATATATGTATTCTTTGATAGTTTTTTTTTTTCCCAATAATTTAATGGTTAGTTGGAGATTCCACTTCAATTCCTGTACAGTTTTATTATTAGGACACAAATGACTGACACAATACAAAGCGATTTGCAAAGAATTGCGGAAATGATTTCACAGATTATTTAAAACATATTTGCCAGGTAGAAGGAAAAAGTAAAGAAAAAAGGGCATTATAGCTTCTCTCCAGCTAGGAAGTTTAACCTACTTTGAACATACAGATTTCCAGAACTGCTAAAAAATGAACTATTTGATATATTTTAACCTCCTATAATAGCACTTTTAAAAACATTCAGTAAGACTAAAGAGCCTCTGAGAACTAAAATTCCATGATTTAAATTAATCTGTACTTCAGTATTACCATTTAAAACATTAATACAAAGCAAAACAATAAATAAAAATTTAAATATAATTTCAGAAATGGTAGCTGACTTCATAGAGCAGAACCCTCAGTTTCTGTTTGTAAAGGCAGTTAATGAAACAAAGCAGTCCATTTTTCTCAGCTATTTCTTATGCAGTAACCACATTAAATCTGCCTTTCTAAACAGTCTTTTCTGAGGGCCGAAGCAAACAACAGCAGTGCAACCAAGTAACAGCAAGGCAGTTCTGAACAATTAATCAATGTCATGTAGATAGAAAGTGACTGATGTTTTTTCACCATTCTGCTGTCCTGTGAGCTGCCTGGAGGAAGCCGTCTCTGGGACTCAGCTGCATCACCTTGCTCTTATCATGCTCAGTTGAATGCAAGTAAACCGCACAGTGCCACTGCAGTTTGATTAGGACAAAACTGAATCCATTACGATCCCCTCCCTGCATTTTTATTGTCCCTTGGGGAGTCCTGAAATTGTTCATACTGACCTGCTGCCAAATAATACACATCTGATTACGTGCTCTGCAGTACACCCTATACATGTGCTCTGAACACCCAAAAGAATTTATTTTGGTTCTTTTACCATCAGTGAAACTGCAAGCAATCATATCTTGGACTTATGTTTGTGCAATACAATCATACATGGGGCAAGCCTGCAGTTTGTGAGCGAAGATAACTCTCAGTGCAAGAGCCCTATCAGTAAGAGTGTTTAGGCCAACAAAACATATTTTTTTCAGTCTATAACTTGATTAATCTGAAAGGATTTGACGGAACCCAAAGATTCCATGTAGTCTCCTGCATACATAGCCATATCATCTACTTAAAGATCACAACAATCCACAGCAATGAACCTGTAATGTGAAGAACTACTCTGCCTTTCGATATAACTTCGTGTTAACTCCCTCTTTGATTACAAAAGAGATTGAAAGAGTTACTGAAGGTAGCCAGCAATCAGGACCTTTCAGGTTTCCTTCTTTTCTTCCTGTGGAATAGCTTTATGAAGCTAACAGCGAGACAAGTAAGAGCGTGGTACTCAAAGCATTCTTTATTCTGCCCCCATTAAAATTCAAGAACCTTACAAAAAATTCTCACTGGAATTGTTTCCAAGACAGCTGCTAGAAAACTGCAGTGGATTTGGGCTAAAGACACCTTAACTACCGAACTGCTGTTGAGAAATATCTTTAGAAATCCCCTACAGTGCAATAACCACAAGCTTCTCAGTGGTAGCCATACCTGCCTTCACGGTTACGCAACAGCAAGCTTTGACACCGATCTTCACAAAAAGGTTGTCCTTGCTTGAGGCCAACAATTATCTAGTTTTCTTCTCCAGTTTAGACTAACTGAACCCAGTGCCTCATGCAACACTGAGGTCTAGCACGCAACTGAAAAAAAAACCCCAAGTCTCAAAAGCATTGCTCTGTAAGAGTTGGCTAGACAGTAGTTTCCATATACCATTTATCTTCTGAAAACAAAAAAGAACAATGAAGGACAGACACCATTTGTGGTGGGACCAAGAGCATTTCCCTTAAACTCAAATATTACCCTTTATTCTCCCCTTCATTTCCTTAAGCTGCAGGCACCTGCAGCTGTACATAGCCTGCCACCTTCCCTTTTGGCCACGTCTCTCACTGAATCCCCAACGCAATGAGCAGTAACCACTGCCTTTTTATATTACGTATCTGATCCGTGACACCCTTCTTCCACCGGCTGGTTACTTGTATAAACTAAGCAGCCGTTTGCCAACTCCTTTCTGTTACATTATGGTTCGGCATCTTCTGAAACTATGTTGAGCTTTGATCTTTTCCTTTCATGCCCCAACTACATTCTCTGAAGAGTTTTTGTACCAAATTGGCATGTTTCAACTCCCCAAGACAAACTATGAACTGAGCTGCTGCAAAGAAGTCTACACAGCCAGCTGAGTAAGGTAAGAGAGCCTTGTATAGCTGCCTAATATAACGTGCCACCGGGAGCAGTGAAGGCCAGATCCATGGTCCTCCAAAACATACAGCTGCAGTAGCCAAACTCACATACCTAGAACAAGTCTTAATTCACTACTTCTTTTAATAGAGATCCCAGTCTGTATAGCCTTCTCCCAGTCTTTCTCTCTCAACATTTGCAAGAATTCTGAGAAAATGAGACTTGTCGTACGAGCCATAGCACCTTGCAGTTGCAGAACTTGCCAAGGGGGCCACACAGAATGGCCCAAGAAATCCATCCAAGTTTTCCTATCTAGATACGGAACTTCTAGTATCTTTCAATGAGCTAAAACAGCCATAGGAAGAGATTCTCTCCATTTATTACCCAAAATACACACTTACAGATGTTTCTGAAAAGTCAGCAGGCTGATTTTAAGCAGCAGATTTCAAAAGATACAGCATAAAACTTGCAAGATTTAGTGTGACCTCAAAATTCAAGCTTTAACAATTACTAGATTTTAAAAGCAGATGTCATTTTTGGAGGTATCACTTGTAAGTAAACAAGTGACAGTGTTCTACAGACACCATGTTGCAGCTGTAGACAGGCAAAACAGACACTAAAATCTCAATTAGGAACCAAATTATCCAATTGGGATGCACAATATTGAAGTATTTCAGTGTAAGATCAAAACATTCAGACAGATTAATTGTGCCAGTGCTGTTCTACTTTTAACAAAACACTCTAATAGACAAATTAACATTTTTCAGTATGTAAATTTACAAATGGCTACCCAATTACGGAGACTGGGGAGTTAAAGATAATCACGGATTTTACAGGGGCTTAGCCACGTGAGTTCTACTTCAGTTTTGCTGTGCTGGCCCCTTTTAGCACAACAGGAAAACAAATCAAGGTTTTATTTCCACTGCAAGGCAACATCACGAACACAAAATGCCGACAATATGCTGTTTTATTGCTAATAGAATTTGCTTGCATACAGATCTGGGTTTTAACTTAATGCACTGTTAACTGAAAAAAAATTCTGTGAGCCCTTTAAAATAATTTTTATAAGCATTTTATTTATTTAATAAATGCTTGAGACAACCAAATGAGAATGATATTCTGTATACAGTTTTTTGTTTATGAAACTTAGCAGGACTATTTCAGCAAAAAGACTTATGTTTGGACCATTAATGAGAAAAAGATACTGCTTTGGCATCTCAATTTCAATTTTCAAAATAAAGACATTTTCAAGCTATTAAAAGGACTGCTAAGTGAAGCTTTGTACTCTGTAGGGAGTCTATAATCCAACAGTCTTTGTCTGAGAAAACCCAGTTTTTCTGGCAATAAAATATCATCTGGCTTCTTTCTGCAGTTTCTTTAATTTTA